AGACTGAACTTCAAGTTAAGCTCTTCAACCCCTTTGGCAATTGACATTTGGATCCAATTCTCAATAGTTTCTGCAGCACCTATTGGATCTAAAGACAAATGAAAAGTTTGAATGTTTGGCCTCAGATGGAGATCAAAACCTGGTTCGATGTTGAGCAAAATCTTTGTCAAAACACAATTTTTGACTAAAAAGCCAAGATTGCTCGAATCTTGGTGACACTGTTGAAGCTTGAATTGCTTGTTTGATAGGCAGAAAGGAAAATATTTTTGCAAGGGCATCATCTGGGAAACTAGAGAAAGGCTGGACAGCATTCCGACCATGAACATTTCCAGGATGTGGACTATGACCATGGCCACCTAGGTTTTCTCTCTTGCTTTTCTTTCGTGGGTTTTCTAGGTTTTCAATGCCTAGAGATGCCATAGCTATATGCTCAAACTATTAGGAATTTCTCTGGCTAATACTACCATGTATGTTGCTTTACAGGGAAAATGATCTTACTTTATAGCTAGGGAAACAATAAAATCTAATAAACTAGCTAGCAATTGAATACTATCATTACCAAATGGATATACCATTGAATCGAAATATCTTGAGACAACTTCAATTAAATAGGAGAAAACAAAACAAGTTAAGGTGGATTTAGGTTCAATATATACTTCTTCATTACATTACCTTTGATTTAATGTAGGTAATTTTGATGTATTTTCAATCTTATCACAATGATCTAGTCACCATGATGATCTAATTATTGAAGATCTAAAATTATTCACATGAAGATCGAATATTGTTAAGCATAAAAATTTGGAAAATATTCACATGGAAAGAACACAAAAATTTGGATGGAATAATTATATATGGAAGAATGAAAAGTTTTAGAAATTTATGATTCTTATCAATTGTCACCATTTTTGTCTCAAGATCAAATTCAAGCTTTTTTTTATTACGTAATATACTTCCATTTGCCAACAATATCAAGTATAGAATATGGAAGTGGGACTCAAGCATTTGATTCATTGGTTGGTGTATGATCCTTCTGCCTAAATAGCATGGTTCGAATCCCCTCTCTCCTAATTATAAAAAAAAAAACATAAAATATGGAAGCGGGGTTAAGAAAGGACTGACTCAAAACGACCGCATTAATAACTTTGGCTTATGTAAAATGACGCTGGTCATTACAACACTGATCTGTAGGTTCCTTGTTGAATAGCCCTCCCATGTCTGACTGAGGTTTGATCAATTTGTGTCCAGAGAAGGATTGTAGAAAGGGTAACCCAATTAAGCTAAAGTTTCTCAACGCAAGAAGAATTAAAATCTAACGTAATACGATCAAGAAACATAGAACCTCAATCCTCCTTAATTCGTTTTGTCTTTTCCTATTTAATTGAAGCTGCCTTCTAATATTTTGATTCAA